AAGCAATTATTTCCTTGAAATTAGGGTCCTGAACAAGTCCCCAGCAGAGTATCAGTCAGTAAAAAAAAGCGCAAGGAGATTTCTTACTATTACAATAATTTTATTAAAATAATTTTACTAATTCTAATAATTTCGTAATTCTTATTTCCCGCCTTCCTCTTCGATTTCTCTTCTTATTTCAACCGTTGTTAATATACCTTTCTGTTTAAAACTATACAAAAATCAAAAAATCGCTATAAAATTATAAAAAATTATAAAATCAAAAAATTTTACTGGAATTCTCATGACGCTTTTAGCATAGCTTAATCAAACAAAACATATTTCATAGAAATAAATCAAAATCAAAGAAAAACTTGAAAAAACTGAACCAAAAATTAACATTTTTCCCTTCTAATGATGTGACAGAAATAGTGCCTTTTTTTTGATTTTGCTATTTTTTCAGGGGAAAGATAACACCACCAAAAACTTAAAGAATTAACATAACTTTTCACTTGTTCTTCCAAATTTTTCGGATCATTTCCGAGAATAGACGTCATCCTCAGCGTGATGCCGCTATGACCGAGCAATGTAAAACGCTGTGGACGATCTTGCCACAAGAAAGTTTCGTTTAAACACATCTTCAAAAGGTCACTGTTTTTCTGCAAAAAATCAAGATTATATTTATCGTGAGAAAAATCGAGATCACAGTTATCGTGAAAAAAAATCGAGATTTTGATAACCGTAGAAAAATCGAGATTTTAGTAACCGTAAACCGAAGAAATGTAAACATTTTCGTACGGAGGTACCAATAATAATAATATCGGTGGATAACGATAGTGATGATAATAATGTTCTTCATTAATTGGCTCATTAATTCATTAAAATTTCATCAATTTTGTCCGAAAAAGTCAATGATTCTATGGCCGGAAGTTCTACATAAGAATCCCTTCAGTGTTATTAACATATTTGATTGCTTTATCCAAAATTTAAGGAATGAGACCTTAAACAATTTTGTCTCATCCAGCGGACCCCTCGATGCAATCCAGTCTTTGAAATCCATACTTTCAACAGCTGTGAGAAGACCGGCGCTGAAACAACGAAAAAATAGGTAAAAAAAGACTGGATAGGTAAAAAGTGAAAAAGTGCGGTAAACTAATTAAGCACGATGAAGTACTACAGCTCAGGATTGAAAGATCAGGCACAGTTGTCCCATCATGTGAAAGCATTCCGCTAACAAGACTAATGTAAGATACATTAAGTGCTGTAGAAATTTTAGAGATAAAAAACTATGAAAATCCCTGGC